TTTCTGGCCATGTAGTTGGCATTTTGGTATTTTTAACAGCCATTAGAATATTGTTGGAATGTATATTCTTTGTTAATAATCTACTTAATTTATTACAGTAGAATAAGATATTAAGAAATCATATTATTTAATATTTTATTTTCAGCAATGTGAGCATAACTTTGAACTTTCCCAAAGAAAGTTTGTGTAGTCTATAAATCTGCCAGGACTCTGTATGTCTTTTTTAAAAACTTAGCACCTGAGCCCCTTTCATGGAGTTAACTCCTAGTTTTTTTTTCACTGTAACTCAGAAAACAATAGGATTGTAAGAGTCTCCTTTGATTCCTGCTTAACTTTTTTTTGAAAAGTTTGATTTTTTTTAATTATAGTTGCAAAAAAATTTACATAAGTAACAGCAGCTTATTTCAAATATTTCTTACAAATCCTAAACTGGTGCTTCTCAAGGTCCATGTGGTAAAGTACCAGTTTCTATAATTTCCAATTCACCAGACTGATAGTTTTGCTAGAAAAGTAAAAGTTTTAAAAATATAGAATATAGGCCTCAATTCTTATTATCAGAATCATAGATAAAAATTTAGTCTGCCAAATTGCTATAAAAGATTTTAAACATTCTCAATTCTGTATCTTATATTGCTGAGCAGTAACAAATAGTTCATGGACTAGTAATAGTTTGCAGTTAAGTTCTGGTGTATAGACTGTATTTTTTAATAGCACATACATAGCTTGCTATTTAGGGTGCTTAATGTTATTTCAGGAGCATCTTGGTGATTATGATGTATAATTGTTGTCCTTTAAAAATTATTTTCATGTGTTTTCTTTTCAGAATCGAGAACTCCAGATCATGAGAAAGCTAGATCACTGTAACATAGTCCGATTGCGTTATTTCTTCTACTCAAGTGGTGAGAAGGTAGGTGTGACAGATAGTATGTATTGAATATTGTGATAAACTTGGTATTCTTCCCATCCCTTTACCCTAACAAAATAGTTTCGCTAATTGAATGAAAGCATTCAAAGCATAGGCCCCAGTGATTTTGAGCATAAGAAATGGTCATTGAATATCATTAGTTATAGCAGGAACATGCTAATAAGAATATAAAGGGAATGATTTTTTAAGAATTTTCTCCTTTTTTAAAAAAAACAGCTATCTTTAGTTCTAGAAGGTTATATTTTTTTCTTGATACTTCTATGTTTTTTATGGAATCCTCATTTCATCTGTTTATTATAAGGAGGAAAATTATGTCATTTTGCTAAGTGGAAGTTGATGAGAGGTGAAGAGAGGAAGTGGGAGGACTCTGATAGGAATAGAATGAGGGTTAAACATTAGAAAGCAAGTTTAATTGGTCTTTGATCAGAGAAAAAAGATATAGTATTATATTACAGAGCTTATTATAAATTGTCACTATTTCTGATCACACTTAGTTTTGTGAAAGTAAAGGATAGTTAAGACTTTGAGCTGTGAATGTTCGTCTTCCTTGGTCCTCCATTGGTCTTTCTCCTCAGAAGATGTAATAACTTATGGCACTTTAATCAGTGGAGAAGAAAGCAAAGAAAACCAGTTTCTACTGTTGTACCTTGGTCTTTTTCTTTCTGCCCGTCCTTTTCCCCAGTTTTAATATTTCCTTAAATTTTTTTCTTTACTAGTTTTGGATGGGGGACCTGGCAAGTAACATGGAAATCAGGGATTTTTTTTGGTGGTGGTGGTTGTTGTTTTGAGAGGCAAAATAAATATGACTTGAATAAATTCACTTGATATTTTGGACTTAAGATTTTATGCATATAATATGTAATGTTCTTAGATCCATAATGTCTCTTGATTTCTAATCCAGTATTAATTTACTTAACTGTTTGTAGATTAATCATTTTCCATTAAACTGTACTTAGATTTTCTTGGAAATTCTTTTTCTTTTCCCACGACAAACCCAATGATATAGAAGAAGACCTATGTATTTTAAGGCAAGGTGATGTGATATCCATGTCTGTGGATCTATTATGTGTTGTGTATATATTTGTGTGTCATAGCTAATATGTGTGACCAGCCATACTTAGTAAATATGTCCTTTATCAACACTTGTTCCTTAGTCATTTTTAAGTTTAAATTGTGCCTCTGTTTGTATTGTGAATTGTAAACCTCATAGATATTTTTAGTTCTCTTATTTCTAAACCCAATTACTTGGTTTATGCATCTACTGCCTATTACTCTCTTTAATATTATCTATTTTGGCAAGTCTTTGTTTTTCTGTACCTTTCCAAATAAGATTGTGAAGCATATATTATGTTCCCAGCACTCTTAAAATGAAGTTTTGCATCCTCATGGCTTTTTGTTATTAGATGCTAGACATCATAATACCCCAGGAAGTAAAGGTCAAGAGTTATTTATTTTTGTGAGCCACTAGATTACATATAAATTCATTTGCGAAGGCCTCCTTACAAAGTTCCTAAACATTTTCTCTTGATTACTTATTTTAATTTGTATAGCCCTCCCTGTATGCCACATACTTTTAATGCTTTATAAATATTAGCTTATCCAACTTTTATGAAATTCAAGTGTAGAAAGGGTAGAAAGTGTAGAAATTCAGACTTTGAAATGTAAGATACCTAATGGCTTACCCGTCTGGTTTTGGTTAGGTGGGAAACCCCCATCATAGGCAGCCCTTACCACAGACTTAATCCTGCCTTCATGGTAACAATTGATCAGCTGTTATCTGAGTACTTCAGAGCAAGACTTTCTCCCTGCTACTGCTTACAGCTTCCTATTTATCTTAAACATTCTTACAGATATAGAAATGTGATTAATAGAGGTTAACAAGGACAGTGAACCTCTATTAGAAAAAAAAATAGACTTTCAAATATTTTACATATCTTAGAACTTTCTTTTTTAAAAAAAAAAAGTGTTTTTCCAAAGCGCAAATCATTTTATGTTAACAGACTCAAATTATGAGGGTCCCTTGTAATAAGAATCTGTAACAGACTTACAGAGGCTGCCTTCACTAAAGCAGTGACTCTTTACCTAGATCTGCAAATGCTCTGTGGGTATCTGAAAGCAGGGTAAAGCTTGATATCTCAGCCTTCATTTTGTATCTGTTTTCTTTCTACCCTTAAACTTTGTCAAAAGAATAATTTTAAAAAGAAAAGTTTTCCGAAGATGTGTAGAAATACACAGGTTTAAGACTTCCCATAATCTTCCAAGTCACCAAAAAGATCATTTCTTTTTGTCACTCATAATCTGCACTTATGAATTGTTCTATAGAACTAACATATTACTCAATATATTAGTGAACTAATTGTAGACATAGGAGAAGATAGGTTCTGCTCTAGGGTTGAGAGCTCTGAGAGCTCAGGAATGAGTTTCCTTTGCTGTTAGGGAGGGATCTAAAAGTCTGTGAATTTCTTACAAGTCTCTAGAGATTACTAATTTCTGAATGTGTTTGTAGTCCTATATTTGATAGATTTTTTTTCTAGCTAAGCATTGCTTTTGTGTATTTATGAGAAAAGTTTTGAAGAATGAAATAATTAAGTTTGAGATGGCCTATGAGACGTGCACATAGAGATGTCCAGGAAGTACATACTTGGACAACTTCTTACAGGGTTCTATGTTACATTGACAAGGTTGGATAGAGAAGGTGTGTGGAGTTTGGAGGAGGAAGAAGCCTGGATGTTGTTTAAGATCAGGATAATAAAAGGTCAACAGTTTGACAGTATTTCCTTCTGTTCCTAGAATTTTTTGAGGGGTAAGAACAAACTTCATTTGAGAATGATATAAGGAAACCAGTACCCTTGGGTGAGATTTAGATTTTTGTCTAGGGGAAGATAGTAAAAAGAAACCTTCATGAAGAAAATGAGATTATCTGGCAGTTTCTTTTTTGGATTTCAGAGAGCATAAGGGAAAGCTTTGGGAAGGAGATCAGTGATAAGAATACGAGCCTCAATGAGGCCATGAGGAGGCATTAGGGGATGAGTTGAGGTTATTGCAAAGATCAAAAGGAACAAGAATTCATTGTTTCAGGATTATAGAAAGGCTCTGGTAGGTTCTAGGTTAGATGAGTTCAAAAGGTGTATGGAAATTTTAGAAATCTGCCATATTCTGTACCATCTTTAACTCTTTCCCTTTTTGTCATTTTCTTTCAGTCTTTCTCCACTGCTCTCTATTGAGTCTCTGTCTCCCTTTTTGGATTTCTGTTTTTCTGTCTGTGGGTTTTGTCTCTTTCTCTTGGTCTTTGTTACCCACTTCTTTCCAATTTCCTTTCCCTCTGTAACTCTGCCTCTAGTTTCTGCTCTCTTCTCTCTTGGTTATTATATTCTGTGGTTCTCCATCAGTCTTTTTCTGGGTTTCTGTACCTCTCTTTTGTTGGATTTCTATGTATCTTACTTTCTTTGTATTTGTGATCCTCTACAAATTTCCTTATAGATTCGTACCTGGCTTGAATTTTTCTGTTTCTTAGTGTCTTTTCTCTCTGGGCCTTTATTATTACTCCCTTTTGATTTAAAATATATATATATATTTTCACTGTCACTGTCCTAATCTTTGAGAGTTCTATGTATCTTATTCCATATGTGCATGTTTATATAGGTATATATTCTTAACTACTTAAAACCTTTCTGAATATTAATGATCTAATTAAACTTCCCCTATTATATCATAATGTTTAGTTATGTAATATTCTGTTAAGTTGTATTATGTAATATTTTCTATTTCCCTTTGGTTATTTTTAATTTTAGAATTGTAGCTAACCTGTTTTTGCCTATAAGCATTTTTCAGCTCTGGGTGTAGTTAAATTGTTATTTCTATAATATTAGGTAAACATTTTTATTGACTTCAGAGTGGCTGAATGAGATGTCCATTTTAGGGAGCTTCTTTGTGTTGTATTTTACCCTGTCATTTTAAAGACTTGGTAACTAGAAATATTTTGGTTTCCATTCCAGTTGTGCCACATGATAGCACCTTATGACTCTGGGCAAGATATTTACTTTTGTAAGTTTGTCCCCTGCCTTCTGTATAGTAGAGATTTTGTAAGGAACAAATTTAAAAATGTTTATCCAGTGCTTATAGCACCTTGCATGTAAACATTAATTTATCATTTTACAATAGCAAATATATATATCACACTTGTTGTGCATCAGATATTGCCCTGAGCTCTTACCTGTACTTTGTAACTCACTTAAACCTCCTTATACCCCATGTGAAGAATTGTTACTGTTGTTATCTCAATTTTTATAGAAAAAGAAACCAAGAAAATACCATTTAAATTACCCGAGTTATACAGTTATAAATGAAAATGTTGGGAGTTAACCCTAGGCAGTCTGATATCAGAGTCTTATAATATGCTTTTCTATTTAGCGTAGAATGTGAATTTCTGCAGAAGCAGTATACCAGAAAGGTAACATTGAAAAATACCTTAGCATTGATGCTTGAATAAGGGAATATTGTAATAGTAGCAGTAGTAAAAATAGTTTTTGTAGCAATAATAATAGTAGTAGAGGTAATAGTAATGATAGCTAAAAATTAATATATTCTTTCCAGGGCATTAATCTAAACACTTTACTTTTAGTCATTTAATCCTCACAACAGTCCTATGGAATGGAAGCAGAGAGAAGCTAAATGACCTTCCCATAGAATCACTCAAACCAGTGTTTTAAACTTTGGGTCTACAAAAGATGTGTGACCCTTCTCAAATGATTGTGTCTTTTATTATCATTACTAATACTTCTACTACTATTATTACTACTGCTTCTATTATAATATGTCCTTATTCAACTATCATTACTAAAGATTATGTATTTTTTAGTGAGACCTAGATTGTATCTTTTATTAGATTCTGAAAGAGTTCTCTACCCCAAAAAGATGAAAAACAATTTATTGAGTCATTCATCTAAGAGACAAGGAGATGTGATTATAGCTAACTGTATAAA